TAATTAGAACTTTTCTTATACAGATTTTTTTCCCCTCTTGCCTTTCAGGGCTTCCATAGCTTGCCTTTTTGCATTTATTGAAGGTACACTGAATAAGGAAAGGTGATGTCACTGTGGGCTGTCCATTTCTGACCCATTTCATGCTCCAACAGCAACCAAAGTGAGGCAAACAAAGTAACATTTTCCAAAGAAGACATCAGTTCAACACAGGCAGTAAAATGTGGTTTATATTCCTTTTTCTCCAGGTCTTTGTTTGCTTGAATGTTTCCTGGTCACAGACTGGTAAGTAAAACTTCTTCTACTGGTAGTTGAGGTCGCTAGGACAGTGTACAAACAGAAATATTTTTTTGGTTTCCTTAATTAAAAAAAGGAAATTTTAGATACATTTTTGTTTTATCAATATTATTTTTATTCTTATGAGTTATTTTTCTCTTCATTTTATGACAAATCATATGTTTCACTTATTGAACATAAAGTCACCCATATAGTAAACTGTTTTGTTTACAAGGATTGTTGGTGTCTATAAAATGACAGTTCTAAAAGGCAAAGGGGCAATTTGATGTGAATCAATTAACAATAATACTGAGGATTATGTTTTCTTTGCTTTATAGTCAAAATTCCTGTCATACTGTATTATAATGCTTTATTTACTCCTTGTTTTATTTTCAGTAAACACTTGTGAAATTGGTGTACTGCATCCTCATCTGTATATAAGTGGAATACCTTCAGCCGGTGCACCGATCACCGTTGGACACAAGTTGCGTTTTCTCTGTGGTGCTGATTATCACTTGAATGGATCAATGGAAATTGAATGCTTACAAAATGGACAATGGAATCCCTCCTTTCCAACCTGCTCTGGTATGTTTAACTAAATTCCCCATGTAGATTTTCCCTTCTTTACAGAAACATTTAAAATGGTCAGACACATTTTGATATTACATAATTATAACATGAGTGAACAAAAAAGGCAGTGTTTTTTCTGCTTTTAAATATTGGGGAACTAATTTTTTTATTGATTTTACCAAGATTATCTTTTTGAAATTTAAGATTTGTTTGATGGTCTTTAACATGTGAGATGGAAAAGAATATACACAAGATAAATCTGTAATGGGGACAATATTTGTAATCAAACAGTGCATGAAAATACAAGGTGAATTACAAAAGACAATTAAACCAAAAGTACATTTTCCATGATAAGAAAATAAACCGAGATAATAATTTTAGTTTCATTCCAGATCATATGGAGGACCTAGAGAGTCACTGAAAACAGTCACTTCAAATTTCAACTGTTAAATCAAGCAATTTGAAATCCAATTTGAAAAGTATTTTCTAATCCCAAATTTTAAATTGAAATGTTTAAGAGGAATTGTAAATTGTATTTCTTAATCCATTATTAAAAACTGGAATAAAAAAAAAAAAAAAAAACTGGAATTTGGAAATGTATTTTAAAATTCCTTCATTTCTAAAAGGAGATTTAAAATTCATAAATTTATTATAACTTTCCTAATCACTCATTTAAAAAACATTATTTCTTATTCAATTTCCATTTCCTTTTTAAGCTTACATTTTCAAATCCTTATTGAAATTACATTTTCTTTCAGCTTTACCCCCTCCATTTACCTTTTCTGTGATCCTTCTTGTCCCTTAACACATTGATATCCAGTTTAAGTCATCACAGTTGCTCCTCAGATGTAAACAGTTCACTGATAGGTCATTTTGTCAACCCAGTGAGGCAGTCTTAAAGAGTTTAACTGCTTTCCAGTGTTCTCAGGGAAACAAAAGGGTGAAGGTCACATTATGTCCATGATGAACAGGTTGACTACTTTTGCCTGAATAACTCTAATTTAGAAGTTGACTCATTAAAAACCAGTGAGAATGGTGAATGAAAAGGAGAGATGCACCGCCTCAGTAAGTCAATATTTCCTTTGCATATTGTTTTATTTTTACTATGGTCTAAGTGCTGTTCTTTACCATGGATTTATTGCTGCTTAAGATGTTTCCAGTTGCGCTCAAGAACAATAAAAAGTTTCACAATAATATATCAGTAACTGAATTATATCAGATGGTTATTGTCACGTCTTGGAGGACCCAAATGCAGAGGCGGAGGTGCTGAGGTGAATACTTGTAGTTTTAATAAAAAATGGTTAACAAAGGCAGTCCGAAAATCAACTAAAATGTAACAGACCAGAACCATGGAGACATCAAGACACGTAGAAGGAAAACGCGTAGAAGGAGCCAGGGAGAGACGATTGCAGCGAGGACAGGACCAGCAACAACAGGGGAACCAACAAAGAGTGAGAGCAGAGGGAGAGCATAAATAGCTGACAGAGACAAAGGGAGGGCTAACGAGCTGACAAGGAGCAGGTGTGAGGAGACAACAAGGGAGCTAAGGGGAAAGGAACACACACACACACAAGAGGGCAACAGAGGACAACATGAGAACTAACATAAATCTAAAAATTACAACAAAATAGGAATTAAACCAATAAAAACTAGAAAACAAGGAGCAAAGTAAAGCACAACATATCCAAAACCATGACAGTATTTATTTAATTCGGGGAACTCTTTATTTGTTTTTACTGTTACATGACTCTTTTTTCTAAAAGTTTGTTAAATACATATAAAATATTATTAGTGGTTTGAAATTACAAGTATTTATAAATGAAAAGAAAAACAAATGACAATAGTTAGTCACATAATGTCAGAAATATTTTCACAAAGCTGTATGTATACTATATGTATATTTGAAAAAAATGTGATCAAGCACCATCTAAAGCAGGGGTCACCAACCTTTTTAAAGATGGGGAGCTACTTCGTGGCTACTGAGTCATAGGAAGGGCTACCAATACTGACCTATGAACAAGAGGGATGAGTGTTCACTTAGATTTCATGTATAAGAAACACATTTTTATTGTTAACTTTTCATATCTAATTTTCTTTTCAACATTCTCATTTTGAATTCTTCATAATATGATGAAAGGGTTAATATAATGAAATGATCTATAAATGATTAAAAAGAAGAGCAACAGAATAAAAAATAAACGCATTGATGACCATGATGTAAAGCTACTTTTACCCCTCTTGTTTACTTTCTCTTAGGGTCTTCAGGTTGTTCACATCCCCCACAGGTTCCCAATGGAGACACCCTTTCATTTACTAAATTCAATTACCAAGAGGGTGAAAGAGTTGAATACAGCTGTTTTTCTCGATATACTATGGAGGGTGATCCATTTAAAACCTGTAGAAATGGTAAATGGGAAGGAGAGATGAGATGCTTAGGTAAGTCAAAATTTTTTACATTTTGAGTTTGCATATTGTACTTTTTCTGAAATGTGATGCAAAGGGTTTATTTTATGGTGAAATAATTGCTGTTGCAATTCATTCAGTTGCGAAAAAGGATAATAAAATGTGTAATGGCACCATATCAACAATGATATTATTTAAAACTAGATAAAGCTAAATCATTTCTTATGGGACAGTTAATAAGACACATATCTTTATAAAATAGTGTTGTGGAAATTATTTATCCAAGTGTCTTTACTTAACATTTTTGCTAATAGAACTCTTATCTTAATTACAAGACATCCAGTCTCTGTGATATTGTGGCGCATGCAGAGACGCTTTATTCTTAGCAGTATAGCTCCAGAGTTACACAATTGATGCCTTTTAGTTCTGATATATGCAATACATTTAATTATTTCACAAAAAGTTTTTATCTGATCAGACCAGCAATTTTAAAACTATTTAAATGACAAAGTATAAATGTGAAGACCAATGGAGTAACAAAACATGGGTAACGTATTCAAGTTTGTGGTATGAAGGTATAAATGAGGAATAAGGAAAATCTCTTTTTTTTTTTAGCTCTAACGGTGATACGCAATTAACAAGACCTTGTGAAAAGTAACATGAAAGGTTTAATGATCCATATGTGCGATTCAGAAACATAGTTTGATCCCTTTGATATTTGATCATTATTAAAAAAGCAGTTTTATGAGCTAAGTTTTATAAACTAAGGGTTGTTTCTGTTTTGTCTTTTTAGGCGCCTGCACTGTGGATGAGCAGTTAATGGAGGAAAATAATCTTATGTTTGCATATAGCTGGAGGGAAAAAGTATATGCCGTTCATAAGGATCACATTACTTTTTATTGTAAAAGAGGGACAAGACGTGTTGGCACAGTGCCACTGCGTGCACAGTGTATTGATGGTGTGATGGAACTGCCTACCTGCCAGTGAAAATTTTCAATGAGCTTATTATAAATATGCAATCATAAAATTATGCTAATTATCCAATACAGGAATATTGACCGTTTTAATTGTTATTTTAGTAAAAATATGTCAAGTCTTTTGCTTCTGCTTGTTGTATAGGAAAGTTTCAAGGTCAGTCGATTTTTTCGATGCTTCTCACAAGAAAAATATATATGTTCCTCTTTCTTTGTTCTGTTGTTTCAAGATAAAACATGTCAGGAACTATTGATAAATAAACCAATGCAAACATTGACCCTCTGTCAATCTGGTTATTATAAATATGTAATCATAAAAATATATAAATGATTCAATACAGGAAAGAAGTATGCATTTCATTGCTATGGTCATTTAAATGAAAAAATGTATTTAAGTTTTTTTATTCTGCATGTTAATTAGTTACTTTTTTTAAAAAGTTGTATGTTTATGTTATAAATTGTTGTTTGAAGAAATATATATAAAGATGTCTTTCTTCCCCAAAAAATAACTTTTTAGAATCCTAACTGGTTTGCAATTTCCTCTTACTACTCCTTTTATCCTATATATCTGGTTTTGTGTATTTATTATTTTTAAGATAATTCAGGTAAGTTGCTGTTAACTTTATAAATCTGCTTTAAAAAATAAAAGTAAGAAAAAAGGTCAAAACTTAATAGCTACATTGTTGTGTGGTTAACCCAAACTGTTTTACAATATGGTAAATAGGAAAATGTCATTATATTCATAAACAACTGGACTAAATAAAATGTGAATAAGATCTCAGTAATTGTAAACAATTACAGTCTGTGTGTGATTAATCTATATAATGGGATTTGGTTGGTGAAGTGAGTACTTACGGTACTGAAATAAACAAACTTAAATAATATTCAAATTTAATAAATATGACTTTAGGAAGGCATGTCAATTTTAAGAGAAAACAGCAAAACAAACTACTACACAAGGTAAAATTGACAGCTTTATCCAACAGAAGTAAATGACTGAAAGCAGGCATCCCTTAGATATGATAATATAGGTTACATTTATTAGCTGTTTTCTTTATTATTTATAATATTTATAACTATTTGGTATAGAGTACATAGGTGCAGCCATTTGAAAGGCTATTTCTTACATTCAGGATGCAGCAGTCTGTCACTGAAGTAGTTGATGGTGCTGTTGTCATGTCTTTCACAAACTGAAAAACATTGTCTTATTTTCTTACAATCTTTGTTCTCCCAAACACTTTAATTGAGCAAATATCAAAAGAAAGCGACCGCTGTTCTGATCTTTTCTCTGATTACTGTCTCTCATCTTGTAAAAAATTACTGCTACTCTGGCAAACAACAGCAGAAGTTATAGCTAGTGCTACATAATATCTTTATTAGGCTGTCGGGGGCCAAAATATAATTTATATTTAAAAAATTATATAACAGTAATTTCTTTAAACAATTTATAAGATATCATTGCATTTTCAAGGCTTCTTTTAAACTTTGTCCAATAAATACCAGAGTGAAAGTATAGTTTAATGAGAAGATATAAAGTTAGTTATTTATAGTTTATTATAAACAACAATATAAACACTATAATATAGTGTGTTATAAGCTAATTCACAACAGCTGGTTGCGTCAAAATGTTACCACATTTCAGTCCAGTAAACTGGTTTTTCCATTCTTGTGAAATAGCACAGATACAAATTAAATCAACTCCCAAACTGGAATAAGTTTAATGAACTTGAGGATAAGTGTACAAAAAGGAGAGTTATAAACAAAGTGAGGCTTTGCAGGTTGGCTGACCCTGGTGTGTTGACAGAGAGAGCTTTGGCTAGCGGGAAATTACATGGACTGTAGCGACAAATAGATAATTTATTAACAACAAATAATCAAAGTAAACTTCGGAGCAACATAGTTTTAGTGATGAAAATAACAGAATAGAAAAATGGAGAAGAGGACATAAACCAGACATGAAACAGCTGTCAAAGCTGGAAAAGCTGTTATTAAACATCCATCTACATAGAAAACCGTAGAAATATGTGTAATTGTGGGACTATGGCAGCCTTTGCACTGCTGAAGGACTTTACAAATGGAAGATTGCAGACTGTTTTTTTTTTTCACAGATCGCACTGCTTCCACACAGAACTTTCATACTGAACTCATTTTGCAGAAGAGAAACTCAACCTAAAAGTAAAAACGCTGAGTTAGGAAAAAGTCTGCAGTGAATAACAAAAAAAAAAAATCTGATTATTTGAGAGAATATATTTAAATCAAAGCTAACATGAAAACGCATCTTTAAACATCAGCTTCATTTTGGTGTCTTCATTAAGAACAAAGTGGAACCAAACCACAAATTCCCTGTTTGTCTGCATAAACCTGGCAAATAAATTCCAAATGAGGTTATTTGATTGTAACTTTTTCAATCCCACAAACTAAACCTACTTCGTATTAGAAAGCCAAATATGAGCTTCTACAACTTTATAAAGATGAACTAGTCATGAACTTTTAGCAGGATATAGATTTATCCCTCAAACAGTTACATATTTGAAAAATGTATGTCCTTTATTTAGAAAAAAACATTCTTTTAAAAAAATTCAAAAATATTTATATTATTACCATATTATGGCCGACGAAATGATGGCTGTTGACCAGACAGTTTTTCTGTCAGAAAAATAAAGTAGGGTAAGCTACAAAAAGTAATTGTTAAAGAATCTGGTTTTGTAAGTAATGCTTCATTCAAGTAGGCCAATGAAAAGCTGAGAGGAAGAGAAAACTGTGCCAGAGGACAGAACACAAGTAACAGGAAACACCTCATTCCTAAGAGGATTGTGCAACGTCCACTGAAGAATTTGAAAAAGATTTATAAAACTTGGAGTGCTGCAGGAGTCAAAGGTTCAAGACCAACCAGACAGTTTCCCAGAAACCAAACTAAAAATATAAACATTCTGGCATTAAAGCCTTGCTCTTAAGAGTCTATGTAAGTGTAACAACTACTGAGTAACTGCTCAGTGATCCACAATCACATATTCACACTGTCATGACTTCCCGATGGCAAACGCAAAAAGTTATTTGAACCTTGTTTGATTGTTGAGCTGCATAAGTGAGGCCTCTTGCTTGGAGGAGTGTCGGCCTAGTGGTCAGAGCAGCACGCTTGTGCTCTGAGAAGGTTGCAAGTACCTGTTTAGATCCTCACAGCCGGCACTCTGGGTCTCTGAGCAAGACCCTTAACCCCATACTGTTCCCAGGGCACTGCACAGTGGCAGCCCGCTGTTCCCCAAGGGTATACGTTAAATGCAGAGTTAATTTCCCCACTGTGAGAGCAATAAAGTTAAATTTCTATCCTTTTTTAAACATGTGCCATTGTTGCCGTGGTCAGCTGAGAAAATCATTCAAACTTCTTAAAAGATCAAGATGAAAGATGTAGTAGTTTGCCCTGAAATCAAAGGGTTGATGGTTCAAGCCCCGGTACCGGCTTTCAGTGTCATTGTGCCCTTGGGCAAAACACTTCACCCACATTGTCTACTTGGACAAGACACTACACCAAAATAGTAGTTGTCTACTGATAGTAGTCAGGAGGTCTGGGCAAATAATTTCAGTCAGTGAGTTAGGGCAACCACTATCAGTGTGTGGGTGAATGACTAATTGTAGTGTAAAGTGATTTGGTCAAGTTTCCTGATTGGAAAAAAGGCCATCTGAAGGATTTAATTGGGTGTTCATCACAATGAATTGTCCTTATGGCTTTGAACGTTAGTGATATGACAAGGAGATCCCACCTTTCCATTATGATGTGGGGGATTTTTCCCTTCAGTGGATAAATTGAGCTTCAGGTTGAGCAAAGGCATCAAGCAGCAGTTGGCTATATGGATGCAGGGGGCATCCCTTCTGACTGAAGACCATCTGTGTGATCATTAGTTTTTTTTTTAAGGAAAACGCAGCAGTTCCCAACGCCCATCTGACAAAATAGTTCTTCCACAGAAACATTCTTTTAGATTATCCTGAGTGTTCCCCTGATCTAAATCCTACTGAGAATATTTGAGGTTGAATCACAAGGTAGGTTTACAAAAATGCAAACCAGTTCCAGACAGTAGATGCCCCCCATGAAGCTATTGTCAACACCTGGAGCAATATTCCCTCAAGCTTCCTGTAAACATTGGCAAATATTAGCCAAACAAATTTTTAATTGAATAGCAATAATGGCTTTACTAATTTCCAAGGGCTTTTATTTTTCTCTGGTTTGTTTGTATTTTAAGTTTTTAAGACAGTCTTGAACATTTTAAAAGTTGACAGCTCAAAAGTTCTTTGCAAAACCTATTTTTATTTCACTTAGCTCTGCTTAGAAATTTCTTTATATTAAGACTATCTTTGTAAACTACATGACATAGTGAAACAAAAAAAAGAAATAAAAATAAATTCATGCTTGCACCTTAAATTCCCTTTAATCATGGCAGAGATCATTCCAAATATGTACATCAGATAAACACAAAGATGTTCCAGTATCACATAGAAAGCTCTTACAGTTTTACAGGCTTTCAATAAACAAAGTTTGGCACAATTAAGATAAATATTTACAGTGCAATAAAATAACATGTCATCAAAAAGCAATCAGCCCTCCAGAGAGCAGCAGAGAACAAAGGCAAACTGCAGTAGAGAAATACGTTCGTCTGCAGAGACATAAAAAGACAAGAGAAATCCTAACGACACATTCAGTGACCATTTCAAAGCCTGAGAAGTTGGATGCATCCTAGTGACAGATGCACAAGCTTTGGTAGTTGACAAAAATGCACCAATAGGTCAAGTTTTATTACACTGCTGTAAACGGTATAATAAAGAAAGCATTTTTTTCTATCTTACTGGATACACATTTTCAAAATCTGATCAAGTAAAAATTTGGAAATTTTTGTTCAGACAAATGATAGAAACAATGTTCATAAGGCAGAAGTGCTTTTATTTAAGTGTCAAATGTTGATGAAATTGTTTTTAAATAACTTCCATTTATTAAATATAGGTCATAAAAGTGTGAAATGATGC